ATTTTAGCGTATTATGCATTCATATGTATTTACATACATACTAGATAAATAAAAGAGAAACGACGAAAAAAGGCTCGTAAAAAAATTTTGCGAAAAAAGATGCTTATGAAAAACTTCGGCGAAGTATGTTAAGAGTTTTTGACGCTAAAGTTTTTTATGCGCCTTTTTCGCCGTCAACTTTTAAGCTCGCGCCTTTATTCGTGTCTAGTGACGATATGTACGTACATACATATGTATGTATTTAAGAAACATAGGTTATTAATATTGCGCCATCTGTTACTCAAAAGCCGAGATACGTACACACATACATACTTTTTGTCTCTTTCTCTCGCTTCCAGCGCATGCACGTGTTTGCAAAATAATGACGAAGTGATTTTATATGGGAAAATCATTTATGCCCATATATTTAAATAAAACAAACATACTTAGAAGATATCAACCAATACTTCCCATATACCAAACGAAAGGAAAAAACCTGGGCTCGAATCGTAACATCCGTTCACGGATTGAAAACAATACGAAAGAAAATTACGTGATACGTCAGGCAGTATAAGCCGAATGGGACAAAGAATACGTTCACGTATGTCATAATCCGAAAAATGTGTTTTTACGTGACGAGTAGTACGATATCGTATGTGACGATTCGAGCCCTGAATTTCAATCGAAAAGATATTAAACATCGTGAAATTATTACACTAAATAAAGTTCTTTCTGATACTGATGTATCAATTTCGCCGCTACTCGACCAATTTCCTGCATTAGTAAATGATGCAGACATAATTGAATTTCAATTTCGCAAATTGAGGCTGAGTGAAGGTAACTTCAAAAACTGTACCAGTGTAGAACGTTTTTGGGATCAAGTTAGTTTGATTAAAAATGGATTGGGTGAAGCGGCCTTTGGAGAATCGTGTGATTTAGTTCATAAAATTTTTAGTCTGCGAATTTTTTTTTGATTTAGCATTAATAAAAACGAAATACAAATCATAATTTAAAACTTTGAATAATATAATGTTAATAGGTTTTTGATAACTATCAAAAACTAGCAGATTCTGATGAAAAGCTGCTAGTTTCTGCTGGAAAAATTTTTGCCAGCAGCCATTTGCCAGCAAGAAAAACAGATGATCAAAGTCATCTGTTTTAAATTTATGAAAATATGGTAATTTATTTTACATTTAGATTTAGATTTATTATTATGATTTTTAAGTTTGAAATAAGTTATTAGAACTGCAAATGTATCGGAAGAAAGCAAATACTCATTTACTTATGTTTGATTAGCAATTTGCTTTAAGAAAAATTTAATTTATATTATTTTCATGTTTTCTGTTTTATGCTTTTCTATGTAAACAAAATTTCGATCAGCTGTACTAAAAACTTGTAAGTTTTAGCTGCTTTTGCGTTCGCGTACTTTTGCTAGCATTTCTCTCTTTGAGAGAGATCAGATAAAAATTCATTAGAATTTTGCTGCTGAAAGTTTTCTGCTGTAAGAATACGCGAATACACTTAATAACATACAATTGTAATGCAGTTTGGATGCAATATAAAAAAAAATCGTTATAAAAACTGAATTGGCATATTTTCTTGATAAAGAGGAATAAACTCTACTCAATTTCCCGATCTAATAAAAATTGGTAAATTTTTTACCATTTGGTCCATTTTTTAGTTGACAAATAAATTGGAAATGGCAACCGTGATTGTCATGGGCTCAAACTCGTTACCAGAGGGTTTTTGGGGTCGCATCTGATGTCAGTTGTTCAAAACTCAAAATGGCAGTACCAATATGGCGATCAATTAAAAAAAAATTAGTGGAGTTGTTCGAAACTCGGTACTCGGTAGTTTTTGGGGTCGCTGATTACAAATATAAAGTAAATTTTTTTAATTTCAAAACGGCAGATCCCAGATGGCTATCAATTTCTTAAAAATTACTAAATTTAAAACGTTGAAACTGAACGTTTTAAGCATTATCATAGGTTAAAACTCGTTACTACGAGGTTTCTGGGGTCGGTGATTACGAATCTGATGTCAGATTTTCAAAGTTCGAAATGGCAGATTCAATATGCCGATCAGTTAAAAAAAATGATTGGATTTTTATCCGCCGTTTTGAATTTTGAAAATCTGCTGACGTCATATTCATACACAGAAACCCACTGGTAACAAGTTTCAACCCATGACAATACTTAATACATTCAGTATCAACGTTTTAATTTTAGTAATTTTTTAAGAATTTGATAACAAAATGGGATCCGCCATTTTGAATTTTAAAAATCGACTTCAGATTAGTAATCAGCGACCCAGAAAAATTTCGTGTTCCGAGCCAATCCAGCCATTCTTTTTCAAATTGATCGCCATTTTGGATCCGCCATTCTGAATTTTGAAAAACTGGCATCAGGAGCATAATCAAAGACCCCAGAAATCCCTTGGTAACGAGTTTGAACCCATCGCAGTCTCTTCTCGAAAGCATATTTTCGGGCACAAGGCCCATTCTAACAGTCCAAGACAGGTATGTAATTAAGGGAATATAAGGGAAAATAATACCTGAGTAAATACACGTAAAAACAACATTTTTAGCTGCACCATAAAATGTCACGAAAATAAAAAATTTAAAACATCAGCGAACTCCAATTTTTTTTTTCAAAATAAAAAAATGTTTTTTTTTTTTTTATCCGGCTCAGTGTCCTCCCTGAAGTCGAAGCCATTAAAAGAATGGGAGGAGCTGAGAACTGCGTTTACCTTGTTGTTCTGTTCTTGCGAACGATTATTTTCGAAAGCAACAGCCACAATAACCACGTCAAGAAATTGGTTGACTGGCAAACATTTGGAAAAACTTCTATTCTTGGGAAGTGCAACAAAAGAAGACTTTTTTCGTTGATATATTTAATTGGTAAATGTTTTCTTAAATAAGATTAACTTGTAATCTTTTCCAATGTATATGTATCTGTGTAAATACCCTTAACCATCAAACATACATATAGTTCTGCTATGTTGTTGTTGTTGTTGTTGTAACAGCATACAAACTCCCCAAAGACTTTTTGGGGAGTGTTGCTGGAGTGACAGTTCTTGGCCAGATATAAATCTGGGTCGTTCCGGTTACGTAGACCCGACTGTCGTGGGAACGTAGTTCTGCTTGTGTGTCGTATAGTTCTGCTATGTAACGGAGTTTTATTTATTTTCATTTCCTACATTATTAAGTTTTATTATAGCATTCCCAGAGGATGATTGAATTGTAATTTAAAAAAATCAATTTAACTTAATACGGAATGCACAATGAGTACCAAGGTGTATTAAACAAGGTGGTGTTGGGGCGACAGCTGAGTTTTTCGCCGTAGAGGCCATTACGTCAAAATGATGTGTTTGTTGTAACTCATACCAATGACAGTATGGACATCAGCGTATAAATTGTTAGTGTAATTTTTTACTTATATACGGCCAACACCACCTTGTTAAATACGCCTTGATGAGTACCGATACGAGTAGGAATCGATACTTTAGGTCCGATATTTTTTAGGCATCTATATCTAGAGATGGCCGCGGGATAGCGGGACCCACGGTACTGATTTAAATTTGGGCGGTATCGGGAAGATCTGTAATGTTTTATTGAGACGAAAACGAACAGCAAAACAAAATAATCGGAAGATGCCAGATCTTTCATTATTATTTTTATTATTTAAAATTAATTTGAATGACATGAATATTTTTGTCAACCTTTGATAGGTTTGCAAACCACGCCAAATACGTTGAAATCTCCCCCGATCGGTTAAATTTGTTGTGCGTTTTCAGCCTGCTTTAGAGGTAGATATCGGGATCCCCGGGACCCGCGGTACAATTCTGAAAAATGTAGGGATGGGCGGGTTCGGGACTTAAAACTCAAATTTAGTCCCGTACCCATTTCTGATGGTATCGTTTCATCCCTATTTTTGGTAAGCTTACCCGATAATTTCTTGCTGGGTTGGTATTGGGCAAAATTGATTTGTACAGTACGACTTAAAATAAAATTGAAATAAAATAAACCCTGTACTTCCTGCTAGTAGTGTGCGCCCTGTACTTCCGGTAGCGCATTCCACGAAAAATTCCAGCAAGTTTGACATTCCATTTTGAACTGACATTCTAATTTATTTATTGAACGTTTTTCATTCTCATAGACCAGGGACAGAGAACGTTTAAAACAGAGAAGCAGCAATTACGAATAGCCGTGTGAATTGTCAAACACTACCAAAATCGCTCTGGAAGCTCACCACTCGAATCGAAAATTGAGAGCGGAAAATTAACAGATCTGAGCGGCAAGTTAACAGAGCTGAGCGGAGATACAATTTTGTTAATTTGTATCAATGTTAAGTGCTTTGGTTTGGATTTTCTTTTTCGCTGCATTGATTTAATAAAAAAAAAGATGAAAATTCTTGGTTTAATTAATGAAAATTAATTTTCGAAAATATATGCCAGGGAATGCTTTAAATCCAAAAGGTAGATTTGTTAACTAATAAATATGTGAAAGCTATGAAAATATGCAAACTCATTGGTGATTTGCCGTCGGCATTTGGGTCGCAAAAATCGATTTTTTTTTTT